ACAGATACGCGATGGCAAGCAGGGAGGGGGCGGGGTTTGGAGGCGAACGTTGAGGCCGAGGGCGAAGAGGAGCAAAACAGGGAGGATGAGCATGATTCATGGCGCTGGGGAGGAGCTGGGGTTTGGTGAAATTCGTGCGGCCAAGAAGAGTGTTTGCCTTGCGCCCCCCCCCCCCCGCCCCCCACAGACGGCGGGACACGGGACGGGCTCTCTCCCGAGTCAGGCCAAGGCAAGCTTCCGCCAGGGCTGCGAGCCTGGCCAACCGTCGGTCCTCCCTGGGGGGGGGGAGGTGCAGGTCGCCCGGCGCGCGGCGGGACGAGGCCCGCGAGGGCGGCGCGAGCGTGGCGGCGGCGGGGGTAGACGACGCCAGCGTGTGGGCGACTGGGTGAGTTCACCGGCAGCCGCAGTTCACCAGCCTCGAACTTATCCCTGTCCCTGAGATTGACACGCCCAAAGGCGATGACAATCTTAGGGATGCACCCTCAGAAACTGAGGGAATCCTCAAGATCGCCATCGTGATGAGGCGATGCCGAACATAGGGATAGGGATATGTTCCAGGCTGGTAAGCAGTGGTGAGTGTGGTTGGTGAGTGGTGGCAGCGATGGTGGGTGCCAGGTCGCCGGGCGGTGGCATAGGCGACGGTGGTGGGGGCTCTGGGTTGCTGGATGTGCGACGGCCGCGGTGATGACTCCTGGCCAGAAGAGAGTGGACGTTGGTGGTTGACGGTTGGTTGTGGTGGCCGTGGTGGTGGTAGTGGTTGCGGCACATGTGCGCCGATAGTTACCGAACATCTTTTTGTTTTTGTTATGGCCCTGCGTTTCTTCAGCAGTTTTCAGGAAACTGGCCCAGTTTCCGACCCCCTTGACCACGCGGGGAGCTGCATGGCAGGGCTGATCCAGCAGTTGCTCATGGTTTTGCTGCGAAGTCGACCCAGGTGTCTTGGGTCTCGCACTTACCAATCACAATAGCTACCGTAGGTTGTGGTAGCTGTGGTGACGGCCATGATGGTGGTATTCCTACATGGGGTGCCGTGAACAACTCACGTTGTCGTGATAATCATGCTCAGAGCTAGCATCCCAATCACTGTGTGCATTTTTGTCTGGAGCGGGATCGAGCGGGCCCCTTGGCCCGAAACCGAACGCAACACGCTCGTTGTTGGTTTTACGACACTTGGACGTCGGGCAACCCAGCTTCGCGCCGCGTCGACGTGGCGACGCCGGCGCGGGCGCTCAAGGTTGAAGCTGCCTGATCCAGGCCCTCCTGCTCCTCCTCCTCCTCCTCCTCCTCCTCCTCCTCCTCCTCCTCCTCCTCCTCCTCCTCCCCTCCTCCTCCTCCTCCTCCTCCTCCTCCTCCTCCTCCTCCTCCTCCTCCTCCTCCTCCTCCTCCTCCTTGAACGAGGTCCGCTGTCGGAAAGCGACTGTCGCTCAATATTGAACGGTTTGCGCGGTGTCAGAGGCCATCGCCTACGCCGACACGGCAGCAGCCAGCTGTAGTCTGGGGCTTCTCTCTCTGCGAGCTTCAGCCGTGCTGCCGGCTTCAGGAGGTGAACGGGTACCTCGCCGCGATCTCCGCCTGCCGAGTGCGCTGCGCCTCCGCTGCCGAGCGGGACGCGCTGTCGGAGCCCGGAGGGGTGGACTTCTGCCACCTGCTCCTCACTTTTCCCAGACTCCCACGCGTTGCGACAAAGGTCACAACGGAAGGTTTTCGCTATTTTCGGCCTGCGGCAAGCCTTTCTCGGGTCTCAGGACCGTCAAAAAACGACTCAGGACGAAAAGCCGGTCTGAGGGAAGGGGTCCGGACTTCTGGGAGTCGACGTTCTGAAAAGATCACGACGTCGGGAGTCTGGGCCACCCACTCTTCACCTCTTCCCTTTTGGTGCATCAGCCCCGCTTGGTCTTGCGCTCAGACACCACCCAGCGGGACCCGCTGCGATCCGATCTACAGTCGGGGCGCCGAAGAAGGAACCCTTTTCGTTTGGGAGGGGCTCCGTGTTCCTTAGTTGTTTTACAGGGCTCCTGGGTTTTCCTAAGGTTTTCCATGGAACATCGGAGTTTAACGTATGGGAAAAAGGGGCCTCGTTCCTTATTTAGGTTTCCTTGGGTCAAGGTCCCGACTGTACCTGATTCGGCATCGATTCTGGCCGGCCCGATCCTTCTGGATTCCGATGTTCCAGCGATCCGATGTGGCCCGATGCTTGCATGGCGCTGTTGTGCACCCAGGCGCGACCGATTCGATTCGATGCCGAGTTCGTGTCGATGTGTGAAGGGGCACTGGGACACACACACACACACACACACATAAATACACACAAATAACAGGATTCTCTATATTTTCTCATAAATTCTAGGTTTTTGTCTTCCCCCACATTTGCCATATTTTCCCACATTTTCCTGGGGGCCGACGATTAATTGTGTCTGTGTGTTTTTCCCCCTCCTGAATGTGAACCGATCCGACGCCCGTTCCGATTCGATCCGAGTTTTCGGTTTGATGCTGACCAATCCTGCCCAGAAGTGGTCCCTGCCGGCGCAAGGGCCCCAGGCTTGGGTGGTCCTGGCACCCCAGCCTTCAGTCGGGCCCTCTACAGGAGGAATATTCAAAAATAACAAAAAATAGTTAGGGAACTATTTTTTGACCATTTATGAGTAGTTTAGGGTATTTTTGACAATTTTTTATTTTTCGTCCAAAATCCCCCTGTAGGGGGACAGGCCCGACTTAACCCCAGCCCCAGGGCGGGGCGCCCAAGGGTGCCCCGCCCAGAGGCGGCGCGTGGGGGTGTTCAGACCGCTGGGGCCTCTGCAGCTCCCAGACAGTCTTGCATCGCGGAAAAGTCACGGCGCGAGGTTTTGGCAGGTTTCGTTTGCCAGGAGCCCTCGGCGGGCCCCGGCACCGTCAAACAACGACTCGTGATGAAGAACCGGCCCTGGGGAACGGGTCGGTGCTGACAAAATCAGGACATCGCATGTCTGGGCGCCAAGCCTTGCCATCCTCCACGCCCGCGCGCGCTCAGCAAGTTCAGCATGTCGTAAGTGTTTCGGCCGCAGCCCGCGGCACCTGCACTAGAGCACAGTGCGGGTCGTTATCACACGCAGTCACGCAGTCGTTGCTCCCCTTCCCTCTCCCTGCCTCTTCCCTTTTCTCTATCCTGATCATCTGCACCCCTCGTCGCTTCACAGGAGGCCGTCGCGTGTGACACCTTGTGTCTCCAGGCTTGCCACGGGGTTTGCCGCGGTGCTGGCTTCGTCTGCTTGGGGCGCGGGACGCAGGGTTGTGTCCACGTGAGCGCGCTGAGAACAAACAGCGCGGCGACACATGCGGTCCTAGATGTCTTCAGTCTTCGGTCTTGGATCTTCTGAGTCCGCCCGCCTCTGGCGGCCCCCGCAGAAGCCTCCAGTTGGGATTCCCAGAGGAGGGCCGACAGCGCACGCAAATATGCGACTTACGATACCTCTGACCTTCGTTCTGCGACTGGCCCGTGCGCTCGCCAGGCCTGCGATCCACACGTGTTGCGCTTGAGTTCGGTAGTTGGCCTGTTCTCGGCACCATCCAGACATACAGTGGGGGCCATGCCAATAAACACACTGCTTGCCTCCATGGTGTCCTGAGTTTCTTGGGTGTCGATGGTTTTGCGACGGAGAGCGCGACGCTCCCACGCCAAGCATCCATCGACGTCCTGAAACTGCTCTGGACGCAGACGAGTCTGCGTCAGGTGGTCGGTCTTGGCGAAGAATACCAGCAATACTAATTATATCTAGAACAACAAGGCCAATAACAGCAGCACCAACAACAACATCAACATCAACACCACCAACAACACCGCCAACACCAACAATAACAACATTAAGTCCCACGCAACGGAGAGCCCAGCTTTGAAAAGGAACCGTCCGTGCCTACGATGGGGGGCGAATAAGTTTGACGGTGCGGGTGCTAAAATAGCGCGCCGTGCGTGGCGGGGGCGATATACTCGGATGCACTACCCCACACGACGGCCGGGAAAAAGCAAATGTTCAATAGGGCTGGTAATAAGAATCGTCTAGGACACGGATGATGAAGAACATGAGAAAAATGAGGGAGGGAGGAAAGAAGCAGGGGAGCCCGTCTGTTTTCGGATTTGCATTATTATTATTATCCTTACTCTTTTTCGTGTTCTTCTTATTCTTCTTATTATTATTCGTCTTATTCTTATTTGGATTATTATTATTGGTCTTATTGCACTTCTTGTCTTTTTGGACATCTGTCGTAATTATTTTGTGCGAGTGCGGTGCTAAGATAACGCGCCGTGCGTGGCGGAGGCGATATCCTCGGATGCACTACCCCACACGACGGCCGGGAAACAACAATTGTTCAACAGGGGTGTAATACAAATCGTATAGGACAAGGATGGTGCAGATAATTGGAACAACTCTTATTCTTATTCTTATTATTACTACTATATTCTTATTGTGATGCATATTATTATCGTTATTCTTCTTCTTATTATGATTATTCTCGTTATTAGTCTTATTATTCGTATTGCATCATTATTAGTGGTAAAGCCCGCAACAGCCCAGCACGGGTCCAAAACAACCCCCCTGGACACTGAACCTCCTCCAGCTGTTCCTCCTCCGCTCTTCCTCCTCTCCTCTACCCCCCCCCGCCTCGACGACGACGACGCCGCCGACGCCGACACAGACCCCTCACACGGTTCGTGGCCCCATAGGGAGCTCCACCGACGGTCCAAGTGGCTGCGCTCGCATGGCACCACCGCGCCCATGTCGGCACGCCCCTCATACGGTTCGTGGCCCCATAGGGAGCTCCACCGAAGGCCCCAGTGGCTGCGCTCGCATGGCACCACCGCGCCCATTTCGGCGCACCCCTCACACGTTTCGTGGCCCCAGAGGGAGCTCCACCGAAGGGCCAAGCAACAGTGCTGGCAGGGCGCCGCCGCGCAAAATTCGGCACGCCCCTCACACGTTTCGTGGCCCCATAGGGAGCTCCGCCGAAGGCCCCAGCGGCAGCGCTCGCATGGCACCACCGCACCCATGTCGGCACACCCTTCACACGTTTCGTGGCCCCCTCGGGAGCGCCACCGAAGGCCCCAGTGGCGGTGTCCACGTGCGTCCCGCAAAAATTTCGGCCCACCCCTCACACGTTTCGCGGCCACATAGGGGGCTCCACCGAAGGCCCCAGTGGCAAGGTTCGCATGGTGGCCCCGGCCCAATTCGGCACACCCCGCACGAAAATCGTGGCCCCATAAGGAGCTCCACCGAAAGCGGTACCCACAACGCGGTACTCACACTTGCATATGATTTGGTTTTCGTCAGGGTAATTGTATTTGTGGGCTCAAACTTGACCCCCTTATGTAAACGCTGGGAGGGTGGGGTGGTGGTGGTGGTGGTGGGGGGGGGGGGATGCTATTTGTTATGATTTCCAGATATCGCTGGCGTTCGATGCTTTTTTGTTGTGTATTTTGATGGTTGTGTTTTTTTTGATTGGGTTTTGTTGTTTGTGGTTATTTTTTTGTATTTTTTCTTGTTGTTTTAATGTTCAGCTCAGTTTGCGTTGTTTAAAGGGTTATCATGCGTTTTTGATGTGTTTTTGTGTTTTTGTTGGTGTTTCAAAGTTTTGGGTGTTTTTTTCTATTTGTTTTGTAGCTTTTCATGCTTTTCAAGGAATTCTGGTATTTTCATGTTTGTTTTTTTTCAAGTTTTCTGTGGTTTTCAATTGTTCTTGTGTTGTTCGAAGCTTTTCAAGGAATTCTGATTTTTTTTGATTTTTTTCTACGCTTTTCATTAGTTTTGGTGCTTTTGCCAAGCTTTTCCATGAAATTTGCTGATTTTGCATTTTTCATTTTTTTGTATTTTTCAATAGTTTTTGCGTTTTTCAGAGCTTTTCAAAGACACACACATATATATATATATATATATATATATATATATATTTCTATGTTTTTCAATTGTTTTTGGTGCTGTTCAATGAAATTTAATAGTTTCTTTGTTTTTTAAAAGCTTTTTCTACGTGTTTCAATGGTTTTTGTGTTTTTTCCATGTTTTTCACAGAAATTTTGTATTTGTTTGTTTGTTTCTATGTTTTTGTTCTGCCTTTTTGCAATAAAATGACATTTTTCAGTTTTTTTTTATTTTTGGTCGGTGGGTGGTCGGTGGGTGGTCGGTGGAGGTCGGTGGGTGGTCGGTGGGTGGTCGGTGGAGGTCGGTGGGTGGTCGGTGGAGGTCGGTGGGTGGTCGGTGGAGGTCGGTGGGTGGTCGGTGGAGGTCGGTGGGCGGCCGATTTCGTGAGCAACGCTAAAAACAAACGCATTTTTGCTTCAAAAACACAAAAACATTTTAAAAAATACAAAAAAAAGAAAAACGCCGACCATCCTGAAAAAAACCAAAAATATTTAAAATTTCTTTGAAACGCTAGAAAAATCACAAAACTATTGAAAAAACACAGAAAACCGGGGGGGGGGAGAGAGCAATATATAATATATTATTATATATATATATATATATATATTATATATATATATATATATAAGCACAACAACCATGGAAACCACAACAAACCATGAAAATATTTAAAAATGGTGTTGGAATGCTTGAAAACCGCAAAAATTATTGAAAACACACAAAAAAATAGAAA